TTCATGGCATTTAAAAACCATTGTCACTTGACAGCCGAGGTGATAGTAAAATTAGTATGTTCTGCCTCCTGCTGTTAGGTACCAGACTGCCGAGGTTCCATATTGTAATCGTTCTGGCAATAGCCCTGCGAGACGATAACCACCGCTGGTGCCTGGCTCTCCCTCAAAAAGGCATGTCTGTAGAAACCGCAACTCTTCCAAAAATGATGCAGTCTAAACTTCCTACACATTATCAACAGACAAAAAATGTCTCCAATCTTGGAATGAAAGGAATAGGCACCATGCAGTCATGTGACAATTATTCATCTAGATTTGTGGCTGTAGGGGATTTTTTGTATGTCTGCCATTTCTAATTAATACTGTATTTGACCTAAAGTGGTTTGACCTGAAGTTATGCCAGTTTCTTGGCAAAAAAAAAAATATTTCTACAAATAATTTAGAAAAACTGATCAGCCATTGTAAATCATAGCTCACTGCAAAAGGTGGGACTCTGAGAGACCCACCGTTCATATTCATTATGAAGTCCAGATACAGTATCAACTGGCATTTATGAAGCACTGTGCAACACAGATAAACGTTGCTCCTAGAGAAGGTAAAACTTGGGCATTTCCATTATCGAGAAGCAAGAGTAAAAACAGTGCTAGTGCTAAAAAATCCCGAGCGGGATTTATTTTACATTTCCAGTAAAAGGGGATGAGGGAAAAGGAAGGGAGAGAAACTATTGTTCACATAAGTATATGGAGAATAAAAGTCTTACTTGGGATTGAGGCAAAATCCTAGTAAAAGATGTGGTACAGTGTCATTGCAATTTGTTTTCTGAGTTTTTCTGTTGCTCTGAGAGGAAAAAAGAAACAAAGCGGAACTATGCGAGGCCTTCAGCAGAGAAAGACCTCCAACCTCATCTGTCAGCCTGGTGGAAGTTGCTCCTTTTTGTTCCCTGCACCAGCCTCCGCATATACCCCATTCCCAGTAGTGAAGGGAAGGCTCGTGTCTCTTACTTTCTTGCATAGAGACATAAAAGTGAATCACGATCTTTCTCGGAGACTGTCATCTACAGTGGCCTCTCCGTGACTTATCTGGGTGAGCAAAGTAAGGCTACGCAAGCAATATATTTTGTGTGACCTTTGCAAAAATGCAGTGCATTTTTATTAACAGGTTATTCCACAACAACTATAAAGCCAGCAGTTGTATAATATCTATGAGACTTTTCTCCTCACATTTTGAGACGTTTATAAAAAAATCAGCGTCTGTGGGAAGAGGGACCGCAATAATTGCAACTGGGGAAAGGCAGGGACAGGCCCCGTTCTGCAAGGCAGCAGCCTGCCTGCAAGCCATCCGGCACCGAAGTCACAGGGACCTGCTAGTACACAAATTGCTCTAAATCAGCCACGGTGCTACAGCATCCTGAAGAATCAGCTGAAGGTGCTATATGGAAACCATATTTCTGGGAGTTTTTCGGTTAAGTGCAAGTTTTAGAAAGGAAGTAAGCTTGACCTTCACAGTATGCAAAACTTTGGCTCGGGTCCTAGCTCTTTTCACATGTGAATAGTTCCTGTGGGGCCTCTTCATGTGCTTAGAGTAACAAACAATGTCAGGATTTAGACCTTGATCTGAATCGAGGGTAGCAGCAATACCTCCTGAAACACAGAAATATTTTTGTTCATAGCAAAGTAATGCACTTGCTGCATGGACAGAGTTAATCTTACTTTGTCGTTGACTCTTCATTTTCATCATGTAAAGGGTTTTTGCCCTTTTCAGGGGTACCAGTTCGCCTCCGGTATCGGTTCAATAAGCCATCTATTCCTTCCACCTTTTTTTTTTTAAATGAAATAACAGTTTTCACGAAATTTGACTTCTGGCTGTGTATTTCAAACATAGTTGAGGCTGAACTGCTGGATCCATTGTAGCTTCTCCTTAGACACCACTTTGAAAAGCGGGACGGGTCATCCCCCCAGACATGCTGCTTGCTTTCCTTTCTGGAATGGCTGATGCTATCGCAGTTGATCGCTCTTGCACAGGACAAACCATCATGTAGGTCATTACGTCTGTCTCCCAGTAATATTCAAACTTCTGTCAGTTTTTTGGTTTTTTTCAAGTAATAATCTTTATTTTAATTTAATCTGAAGCCAGGAGGACAAGAACATGACGGTGTCCAAACAATACACAGAAATTCCTTCATCAATTGCCTCTGCTTCCGTGTGAAATACAGCTGCCTGTTAGGATACGCCTCGTATGGACTCGGCTATTTTAGAAATCCATTGTGATGACAGCGCAATGAAATAGGTATGAAACGGATTGGCAGCCGGTCCTGATCTGCGTGCCATCAACGGGATGTAAACCAAACACGCATAGCTGCACGCTGCTTTTATTTTTTGTCCTTTTGTTGTTCATATATGCCTTATTCCACATTTTATTACAAAATTTTCAGAAATGTCGATACCTAAGTGTAAGTGACTGGTAGGCGTTACTCAGCGTCGTGCTGCACCGCAGCTGGGACACGAACTCTAATTTGTGGGTGATGTTCTGTTTGTATGTAACGAGGTACCTCTGCTGCCCGTATGTATATGGGACAAAAATAATGAAGTCACAGCTTACTTCACTACCTTCATAGAATTTAGCACCCAGTATAGTAAAATACAATGGGCATTTTGGTCAAAGTCAGGCGACTGGAATACGATATGGAAATATAACCTAGAAGAAAAGGAATTACATCTGTTCTGTAGTATTTTAGCATGGTTAATGGCCATGCGGTTGTTCGTTCCGAGTCCATATTCAAAGAATCTCATTGAATATATGAGTTAGGTAAGGGGGATGCAATTCACTGAATGACTGGGGATTTTTAGAAGCTGTTTTTAGAACTCTCTCATCCTCTCTCTCATATATCTTTATTTCAGAGAAATTCTGGCGTTTAAACTATATTTAGTGACAAAAGTGAGACATCACCTACATCTTGCTACAGTGAAGAAGGTGAAACAAGGCTTTCACATACATTTTCATACTATTATTACAGAAGGTCACATGCAAAAATGTGTGCTGTTAGGGTAAGTGCAATTTCTTTTCTTGTTCATCAGGAAAGAGTTTAAAACTGTCTCCTCAACAGCAAAGTAAAGAAAAAATGCTAGATTATTTACTAATAATTATTGTGTTCACTGAAAAGTGCCTACTGCAGGCATCTGGCAAAATACTGCAAATAATTCAAGAGCCTCAAATTATTAAAACCAACACCACAAATTAACTATTAATTAAACTGTATTTTCACGCAAGCGTTCACGAGCAGCCGAACTCACCAACGCACTCTCACTTCGCAGTCACTGATCCTGCGCATGGAATGAACTGACTTGGCAAGGGTTGGGCTCTCGCCCCGGGGCACGGCCGCCGGCCTCCCTTCAGCTACAGCGCCCTGGGGAAGCGCCTCCCGCGCGGGCCCCGGGCTGGCTCCTGCCG